AAACGTTTGGGCATTGCAGTGAGTAAATTCATGGCCGAGTGGTAGAACTTACGGATCGATCATTAAGATGACACGGGTTCAAATCTCGAACAAACTTGGACTTTTGTAAATTTTATATTAGCCTATTAATGCATTTTATATCCTATTATTAATGCAGAGAAATTTGTCTAGTTCTAAAACTCTTATATTTATAAAATAAAATTCCATGCATTTCCATTTTACACTGGAACAAATAGTATCCACCAGAATGACTTTACATCTGTATAATAATACCAGTCGTCATTTCAAAAGCAGTTCTGTAAAAAAAAAAAAAAACATATATATATATATATATATATATAGCCTACTATAGGCCCTATATATATTTTGGATTCCCTACATGGAGTTTTAAAACATGGTTTTAAGCAAGGTTTGCCAGGGGGGACGGGGATTTCCTTCTGGTCTAAACATGCTTCTGCTGAATTATTTTAATCCCCACACCGCCTCCCTCCTCAGTAATCAATGCTATAGGCTACTTCACCAATAGACCATAACAAATATATCAAATAAAGATATGCAACAGGCACGTTTAAACGACAAACAATAAAATCAAAACCAGCGTTTCAGTTACAGTCCGTTCGTGGTTCCAGTGGCCTTATGCACCACGTCTTTTCAAAATGTCACAAAGCGTTTTGAGATTATTTTGAATGAAATATTGAAGTTTATAATTAAGTGTTTTGGCACACCCACACCAAGTGTCGCTATAAATTGTTCTAAAATCGGGTTTCTGACGTGTTGAATTAGTGTTCGACAAACGCGTCGGCGCTTTCACTTGGATTTATTTTTCTCATAACAGCTAAAATAAGTTAATAGGCTACTCCGTATTTTTGCCTACTAAATCGTTCAAAACTGTAAAGTTGTATTCATATTAGGCTAACAACAAAAATGTAGTTGTCGTCTCGTCTCTGTCTCCGGGAATTGCGCGTCACAAAAATGAACCGAAAGCCGTGCACTTGCCTCAGCTCAGTCACGATAAGAAATCGGCTATAGGCTATGTCTAAAGCATTTAAATGTCTAAATATTTAATAAATGTTTTCTGATTATGTACTCCATCTGAAACTGAGAGGTACAGACTAGAGCATCTACTTAAACATGTTTAGCTATGATGTGAGCCCTTCCCAATGAGGAAAGGACAAGACGGGGAAAATCTCGCTCTAATTAAATGTAGGCTAAATCGCCCTGAATTAAAATGTAAAAACAGATCAAATAATTTCTTTGTCGAAATGTTGCGATATTGTTTCATGTAAGTTCATAATTATTCTATAAATGTTATTTAGTTTAACAGCAGGACCACGAAGCACTGTGGTTCGAGATTTATTTGAATAAAAAAGAAAAAGAAAAACTTATTGAAATTGAACGAATTATTGAAATGATATATTTAGTAATAAAGTTTCATGACAGAAATATCACTACATGTAGCTTACATTATTTAATTCCTTCATTATCAACACTTTATAGAGCGGTTTAAGTGTGAATTGCGACTTCTCTAAGTCAGTCTCAGAGCCTGTGGGGGGTTTGGAGGGACAGTGGTCGCAGTTATCGTGCGCGCAGGACAAAAGTTGTTAACGTTCCTCTTTCATATGGAGATGTCGGATAGTCTGATGAGCAGGCAAAGGCTAAACTCTTTTAAGGATAAATCTCTCGATGTGTCCAAGGCCCTATATCTTATTAAATTATAAATAGGCCTATTGTAGTTTATTTTTTTTGTATTTAAAGTTTTTTCACACAAAATGTATATTAAAGTGTTCAATCCAGTTGTTTCTTCTGGTTTTGTAGAGTTTTAGAATGTTTGAGCAGTGTGTAGGCTGGCTATGCATGATTGTCAACAATCTGGCAATATCTAAACATGAACTGTCGACGAAACGCGTTCATGCCACAGCAGATACAGAGCTCATAATTCGCGATCAACCTCGTTTTATTGTAAGGTGAATTCAACAAGGCATGCTGTGTCTTTGAAGTAACAAAGGCAAAATAATTTGTTACAGTTTTTTTTTTTTTTTTTTGGAGGGAGGGAGACAAAATTAACTTGCCAAAAAGAGATCCAGTGCGAGAGGCAAAGAAAAACGCATGTTCTTAATGTAGCCTATGTCGTTTAGGACTATTATCGTTTAGTACTGTTTTAATTGTTTAATTTAGCTGCAATTTCTTTGGCAATACAGATTTAAAATGTTGCAAGAATAAGATTCTGTGTTTCTTATTTTGGATCGCAAAGGAAATAAACTCTGAAATCAATGCAACCCTGTTTAAATGAATAAACTGTCCCGACACTTTATTTAAACCTTGAAATGTGCGATGGGGTTTCAAACTTAATTAATTTTAGTGTTTTACATTTTCATTTGTTTTTATATTGAAAGCAATAGGCTATTTAGTTAGTCTGTCATTTTGTGCCAATTACAAAATCAGTCTTTTCTGATTTGTTCAATGTATGGATCTGTTTTGAAAAAATTCTTCCGTTGCTATGGCCGGGTATCAGTGTCATCTCAATTTCATGAATGATTCACAAAACAATAATTTGGCAGATTAAAGACGAGCTTCATTATTTTCATTTTCTGACGATCAGCTAATCTTCCCTCATCAGCTTTGTCGTGCAGCGGCTCTACTGGAATGTAGCAAATTCATGTTGTAATGTGCCATTAATAATATTAAACAAAACGGTTGACTTTAAATAAATAAACAGTTAATGAACTCGCTATAAACAATTACCTATTTAAGCATCAAGAACGGTAACACATAAACGAAGTCGGCCATCTAGGCTATAGTGAGATTCGATCTCGGATCGCTTGAAGCTCCGTGAGGTTTATGTTGTTGCGTTAACCACTGAGCTACCGTCTGAACGGTAATAAACTTCGTCTTATGCTAAACCATCATTTGGTGTAGCCTAATATGTTTCTGTTTCAATGTTTTATGTTGAAATGTTTTCACTATTTATTCAATTTAATTTCAGTATTGTGATTATGAATTCGTTTCTACAATGTTTCACTTGAATTAATCTGTTACCAGCTTTTAATCGCTCTGAATGAGCCGCGGCGCGGGAGCGGCGGCGGTAAAAGTATTATTCTGGTTGAGTAACCACTGTAAGACGCTGCTGACGTGTGTCTGGTGTGTGTGTGTATGTGTGTGTTCGGGTTCTGTTGTGGATCCGCGTTCAGTGCCGCCGCTGACGTGTGTCTGGTGTGTGTGTGTGTGTGTGACGTAAGACGCTGCTGACGTGTGTCTGGTGCGTCCGAGCTTCGTTTACAGTCTGAGGGAGACGCACGTTGGAAACAAAACAATCTTCGCAAACATGTCTAAGGATTTCCACAAAGAGGAAGACTTGCATTGATTTGCCCAGCCATATTAATTTGAACCCGAAAACACGGACGCACCAGACACACGTCAGCAGCGTCTTACGTCAGCAGCGGCACTGAACGCGGATCCACAACAGAACCGGAAGACAATACAATGCTGAATAAAGTCGTAGGTTTAGTTATTTTTGGACCAAAATGTATTTTTGATGCTTAAAAACATTCTAACTAACCCACTGATGTCACATGAACTACATTGATGATGTCTTTATTTCCTTTCTGGACAAGGACAGTATACCGTACATACATTTACAATGGAGGGACAGAAAGCTCTCGGACTAAATCTGAAATATCTTAAACTGTGTTCCGAAGATGAACGGAGGTCTTACGGGCTTGGGGCGACATGAGGGTGAGCCATTAATGACATAATTTTCATTTTTGGGTGAACTAACCCTTTAACATTTACAAATAGGCTAACAAATGTCATGTGTCCATGGAAAAACAAAAAAGTGTATGGGAATGAAAGAGAACGGGAGGGTGAAAAAAAATAAGAGAGCAGATACCTGTATGGAGAGCCCATACTCTCCCCTCCACCTATACCTCCCTTTCTCTCTCCCCCTCCCCCTCCCCCTCCCCTCCCCCTCCCCTTCCCCCTCTCCTCCCCCTCCCCCTCCCCTTCCCCTCCCCTCCCCTCCCCTCCCCTCTCTACCACACTCCTCCATCTTGGCAATTGTGAACTCGATCATTAAAGGAACATGCCGACTTTTTGGGACTTTAGCTTATTCACTGTATCCCCCAGAGTTAGATCAGTCCATATGTCACGGGTGACAAAATCGCTCGGCAAGCGGAACCCCCTTGAGAGTCCTAAGTTTCCCAGGGGAAGGTATTGTGTGCAACACGCCCCACTCCGGTGATGTAAACATGCCCGCACTGATTAGCGCTAATGCATTGCAGGTGTGAGAGAGAGAGAAGCGGCGCTCACACAGGCTTCCTGTTACGCAAGCCAGGATAAAAAGGGACCATTCAGAGAGTGTTGGTCGTTGTTTAGTGGGTTGGCGTTGTTCAGTGGGTTGGCGTTGTTCAGTGGGTTTGCGGTGTTCAGTGGGTTTGAAGTGCTCAGTGAGTTGGAAGTGTTGAAGAGCCTAAAGGGTTGACTTGGAGCAGTGTTGGATACAAGCTTCCTCAGGAAAACCGTTGTGGTGTGGAGATCGCCCATTTGAGTTTGCTGGATCAGAGTGATCGTTTGTGGGAAGTCTGCTGGACTGAGCTATCGTCTGGATTGGTGCTGTGGAAGGAGAGAGAAGAGATAAGTGAACTGATTTCATCCTATGAGTATTAAACTGCTGGAAGAGGATGCAGTAAATGTGGATCTGATGGTCGGAAGAGCTATGTGTTTCAGAGTGTGTTGAGGAGGAATTGAGAGAGAAATCCCTCGTGGAGCGAGTGCAACAAACTGAGTGGGGCCTCTGACCAGCCTTAACGTGTGAGTGAATTGCAGTGCTTTTGCCTTATTGATACACATTGATTTGTGGCTGTGGAATTGAAGTGAACACAAGTGTGCTGTGCCTTTGCTGAGAAGTGGCCCTAGCCCCATTTACACGTTTGTGGAAAGTTACTATATCTGCTCCCCATTTGAAGTCCAGTGTGATACAGCTGCACTGAAGAGGGTACTCTGTACTGTGAAGGTCCTTAATTGTTATTTACTGTTTTGAGCCCAGAAGCCTACCGCATCACTGGAGAAACGATCTTTTAACCCACTGTCTCCTTACTGTGAATTGAAGAGAGTACTGTGCAGATCCTTACCTGTTCCACTTACTGTTGAGTTCAGAGGCATGCAGCATCACTGGTAACGTACCCTTTTTAATCCATTGTCTCCTTGCTGTGCACTGAAGAGAGTACATTGTACTGTGAAGATTCTTACCCGTCCTATTTACTGGTTGAGCCCAGAAGCCTACCGCATCACTGGAGAAACGATCTTTTAACCCACTGTCTCCTTGCTGTGAATTGAAGAGAGTACTGTGCAGATCCTTACCTGTTCCACTTACTGTTGAGTCCAGACGCATGCAGCATCACTGGTAACGTGCCCTTTTTAATCCATTGTCTCCTTACTGTGCACTGAAGAGAGTACATTGTACTGTGAAGATTCTTACCCGTTCTACTTACTGTTTGAGCCCAGAAGCCTACAGCATCACTGGTAACGTACCATTTTAATTCATTGTCTTCCTGCTGTGTACCGAAGAGAGTACGTTGTACTGCGAAGATCCTTACCTGCTCTACTTACTGTTGAGTCCAGAAGCACACTGCATCATTTGGGAAGCAACCTTTTAATTCACTGTCTCCTTACTGCGAGCTGAAGAGAGTACTGTGTACTGTGAAGATCCTTACCTGTTCTACTTACTGTCCGAGTCCAGAGGTATACAGCATCACTGGTAAAGTACCCTGTTTAATCCATTGTCTTCCTGCTGTACATTGAAGAGAGTATTTTGTACTGTGAAGATCCTCACCTGTTCTACTTACCGTTTGAGTCCAGAAGGACGCAGCATCATGGGCGAAGTAAACCTTTAACTCACTGTCTTCCTCCTGTGGACCGAAGAGTACCGCGCACTGCGAAGAATCCTTACCTGCTATACTTACTGCCCGAGTTCGGAAGTCTGCAGCACTGCTGGGAAAAAGTAAGCTTTCAAACCATTGTTCCATTACGGTGTGCCGATGAGAGTTCTCGGTACTGTGAATATCCTTACCTGTTCTACTTACTGTTTGAGTCCAGAAGCATGCAGCATCGCTGGTGAAGCCGTCTAGTGATTCGCTGGTGAAGCCGTCTAGTGATTCGCTGGCTCGCCCCCCTGTGAACCGAAGGGAGAGCTGTGTACTGTGAATAACCCTTACCTGTTATTCTCACTATCTGAGTCTGAAAGTCTGCAGCACCGCTGGGGAACGGAGTCCCTAAATTGCCGCCCAGGGGACACCGTGACAGTTGCGACACGCCCGCCCGTGACAGAAGGATATCTAGAGGACAGTGAAGGCTATCCAATTGATGCCCCTTGTTTTATTGTTCAATAAAGATTGTTCCTCCTTTGAAACTTACCTGTGTCTCCGTAGTCCTCTGTTGTGTGCCTGTGGTGTCGGCTCCCCACGGTGGTGACTCAGTAAGAGAGGGGGGGGTGGTTGGTCATCCGAGCATTCCTCCCCTCGACCTGTGTGACACATACACACCCTTTTCATCTCTGTGCGTGCTGTAACTCACCCACCACTAGCCTAGCTTAGCACAAAGACTAGAAGTAAATGGCTCCAGCTAGCATTCTGCTCCCAATAAGTGACACAATAACGCCAACATTTTCCTTTTTATATATTGTGATTTGTATAGAAATCACTCCGCCCAAGTAGCAGTGCTTTGCCTTCTGAGAATATAGTTCCCAGTATGTTTACTGTTATAAGGGTGCTGTGTGTCATATGACCTTGTTATTTGTACACACTGTGACTATACAAATCACAACATATAAACAGGGAAAATGTTGGCGTTATTTTGTCACTTACATCCAGTCTTTGCCATTTACATCCAGTCTTTGTGCTAAGCTAGGCTAGCGGTGGGTGCGTCAGACAGAGTTACAGCACGCACGGAGATGAAAAAGGTATGTATGGACTCATCTAACTCTGGGGGATATGGTGAATAAGCTAAAGTCCCAAAAAGTTGGTGAGTTCCTTTAACAAAAAATGTTTCTCTGGATAAAATAAAAAAGCATGTGTGAGACAGAATAAGGGTGAAAAATAAAACTTACATAAACTTAAATAAAACAGTAGATACCCATCTAGAGACCATAGAGGAGATGCTGGATCTTACATTGCAAGCTGATTCTTGAGTGTTTGAAGCTTAGGTTTCAGATCAGTCTTACCTAAGTTCAGAAGTACCTGTTGAATAAAATCTAAAGTGTTCTCCATGTACTTTGGGTAGTTGAGATGCAGTGCATAGGTAAGTCCGAAGACAATGTACATGGCCTGGGGCAGGCTCTCAACATCCATCATAATGTTTCCCACTGAAGATGCAGTGTGGTGAAGGGACTGTGTGTGTGGAGTGATGTTTCCTGTTCATGGCAGAGGATCCCCACTGGCACATCATTGTACGAACCTTCCTCATCATCAATGTCCTGAAAAAAGGAACAGGGCATGATCACATCAACATGACAACATAGTGCTACAAACACAGAGATGCTGTATTTCCTATAAATTTACTAGATGCATTTATTTTGTTTACAAGTTCCAGATGGAGTCTGGAGATGATGTGGGGTACTTATTGTTTACATCATACTTTACACACTGTAAAGTAAGGCTGTTGTAGCTAGTTCAGGGGAGAGAATTAAATTGTCACTAATCTAAATGTCTATTCTTGATAGCAATTGAATTGCTACTAGTAAAAAATTTCATTTTTGATATCTGAAAAAGTATTTCTGATATCAATATTATTTCAGATATATGAAATGGCTTTCTTAGTAGTAACAATCACATTCATGATATCAGAAATGAACATTGTCACTAGTGAAAATTGAATTATTGATATCAAAAATAAAGATTTTTACTAGTAAGAATTGTATTTCTGATATGTGAAGTTGAAATTCCAACTAGTAAGAAATAAATTATTGATATCAACAATTGATTTTGAATGGCAGCCTATGGTGACATTTCACTAGTGAACATACAATTACAGATATTAAGAATTATAGTTTTTACTAGTTGCAATTCAATTGTTGATATCAAGATTTATAATTTTTACTAGTGAAAATGTAAATGTTGATATCAAGAATTATCATTGTTACTAGTGAAAATGTAATTCCTGATATCAAAAATTACCATTGCTACTAGTAGAAATATTATTCCTAATATCAATAATTATAATTTTAACTAGTGAAAATTGAATTGTTGATATCAAGGATTCATATCCTGGAAATGAATAAAAGTTAAAACGGCTTGCCATAGTAGAGCAGTCTATTGTGTGACCGAGTACGCGTACCCAAACACCGCGGAGGACTCAAAGTTTAACTTACCCAAAGCGGACGGTCACGTCGGCGCAAAGCTCAATTTCTATGTCCGCGCGGACTCCGTACTCGGTGTCACACAATAGAATCCGGTTTAAAAAGGCAGCTGGGATCTGCGCCAACTTACCGGGAAGTTCGCTGGTCCGTGGTCCGTGATGCTATAGGTGTCCGGCTCAGCTCTACTTCCATTAACGTTAGCTGTCTGGGGGGAACATACAATTGCCGTTACTGGCGCTACTAGCTAGCTAAAGTTACCAGTGAACATAACCGTTAGCTAAGAGACTGTGGGACAGAGAGCTGGTTAGCTTCCTGGTCAATAACTAGCTAAGTTAGCTAAGTTATTTTTTCCCCGTTTTTTTTTATAACTAAGTTAACTTTAAAAAATTGAAATACAGAAAATTGATTTTTTTCAATTTTTCAAAAAATTGATATACAGATATAACGTTAACGTTATATCTGATAGATAGATTAACGTTACTTTGAATTATATCAAAGTTTCATTTCTATAGTGTTGTCCCCATGAAAATATATAATAAATTATTTCTAAAAATGTGAGGGGTGTAAATCACTTTAGAGATATAACTTACTGCTAGCTAAGCTAACTAATTACCTCAGCTAGCAGTCGGGACTGCAACCAGTGCAGTTTTTAAAAATTTAATCAACTTACCGTTTTGTGTCTGAAAATGGTTCATTCACCGAAGGCTTCAACTTCCTTGCTAGAACGTCAGTTGACAAAAATACAGCTGAATTCTTTGTCTTGCTCTGTCTAAAAAAATTCAAAGTCATCAATACCACTCGGTCAACTCAAAACTGATATAACAACTAGATTTTTGGCGGTTGCATAGATGACGTCAATGCGTTGCTAAGAGGCGGGGCATGGCTGCAGTGTAAATGCAGACTTTCATGCTAATGAATAAAATACTTTAAAATATATTTGGTGTTTTTTTTAACTAAACAGTAACGGCAATCATACAAACGAATATACTTTAAAAATATCTGTCATCAAGATAAATGCAGACTATCATGCTGATTAATAAAATACTTTTATGTCCGTACATAAAATAAATAGAGACTAAATTTTAAATGAGGTTTGATCAAATGTATGTTAACATCATGGACACAACAACAACATACAGAAATCAGCAAACTATATGTATGGCTAAAATTGTTAGCTAATATTCACTAACAAATGTCAATCAACGCTAATGCAGTTTTAAATGAGGATTCATCAATTGTACGTTAACATCAGGGACACAACAATAACATCAAGAAATCGCGAACTTACCCGTGACTCCATCTGGAAAATAATTTGCGATTTCGTATTTTGTTTTGACCCTCTGAACTTGTCGTTGGACACGCCTCGGCATGACACGGGAAGCGCCAGGCTGCAGCAGTCTTGTTAGTAATAGACAAAACTTGATGATATTGAGTTGTTTGAGATCAAACACATAATTACAATAAGATAGGCCAATAAAAAGTAGAGTTTACTTAGAATTCATAATTAACGTAAATAAATGACACATGTTTAAGTAATACAAACTCAGTTTGTTTGAGTAGAAACTACTGATTGGACTTAAAAACACAATTACAATAAGAAAGGGCATGAAGGGCATGATCTCTTTGAGTTGAATCAAAATCTGGGTTTACAGATGAATGCGAATGAATTTTTTTTTTTTCAGATGCAGAAATTGAACTTTTATTATCAGAAGTTCATTCAAAACACCACATTTTATTTTCAAGCGTACATAGTGGCGTATATTGGGTCCTAAAAAAAAAAGCAAGCTTGGCAGCATATTACAGATGCAGTTAATAGAGTTTCATCTGTTAATCGAACATTCCCAGAAGTGAGAAGAAAATGGTTCGACATTAAGCTTGAGCGCAAAAAAACGAATTAGTTCACTTCTGAAAAATAGTATTCAAACTGGAGAAGGACCACCATCGCAGATGCTATTACTGGCTCTCATAATAAGAAAAAACGTATGTAATTACTATATCTAATATTTTTTCAAAATGCTGTGCAAATATGTACCCAATTAAGGTGAATTAAAATGCAGCCTTATTAATGATCAAAACGTTCGGGTGTTAAGCGCACTATTTACTGGGAGCAGGTGTAGATTTCTTGTGTACCAACTAACATTTGGAAAATATGAACATTTTAATGAATCCGAACATTTTCGCCACAACCACTTTACACACGATTTACACAAAAATTCGTTCTGCTCGTGTTTCATGAATGAGACCCATTGTGTGTACATATAAGATAAATTGTAATTTATTATTCCAATATCCAAATATGATACTAAATTTCACAGAAAAAAGGGCTTTTATTTGTGACGTGCTGTCTTTGCATTTGAACATTGCACATTTTAAACAGGACACGCATTATTGAATAAACGTTAGCCAATACAAACATATTTATAGAAAATAGTTGACAATGAATAGACAGGAGTCCAATAATAGCAAAACGAATCACTTATTCTAAAAAGAATATCAAGTATAAGTTAGACGAATCCGACATATAGGAAGGGCTGTTAACAGTAAACGTCCGTCATTTAACGAATTCTAAAAACACTGATGGATAACACAAATTTAAACTTAGCCCGTCAATTTTAATTTTACCGGTATCTTCTCTCTGTGCGCGCGTCAGTGTTTGTGAGAGAGAGCTTGCGCTGCACTGATACAACGGTACTTTTTAATCCGCAAGTAACGAACGAACACGCTAATTTTCATACAAAATAAATATGTAACATAATTAGGTACTTTAGTTATTATTAACACAAT